ACTTAATTTTTTAAATTATCGCTTTCGAGGAAATTTCGTTTGAGAAAATGTTCCAAATCCATTGAATAGACGTATTGAATATCAGAAAACATTGATGCAAGTGTTGACGAAACAGAACATTGGTTAAATTACTGACGTTGTAAAAGCACTTCAAAATAGACGGAGAGAAGTTGACACACCGGAAATGGAATTTAGATGCAAAAGAAATGTTTGAAAATGGTTTTTCTCCTCTCTTTTTTTCTTCTTTAAGGTTGTTTATAACGTTGTTAACGTTATGCTCCGTTCTGTTACTTTAAAATTACTTCTTCAAACTTTATGTCGTCTTCTATGAAATAATAAATTCAGATTTTATCTGGAAGTGGTTTTAAGATGCTTTTTGTGGTTAAATTACTGAAGTTGTAAAAGCACTTCAAAATAGACGGAGAGCAGTTGATACATCGGAAATGGAATTTAGATGGAAAAGAAGTGATTGATAATGTTTTTCTCTTTTTGAAGAATTATTGTTCCATAGAGAACGATATAAAGTTTCAAGTTAATAATTTAAAAGTAAAGTAACAGAACGGAGCATAACAGTAAGAAGGAGCATAACATTAACAACGTTATGAACAACCCTAAAGAAAAAGGTTCTACAATAAAAATGACAATATTTGTCGCTGCGTGACAATATTTTGTGAAAAGAAGGAGCACGGTAACGAAAAAAGCTTTCTCTGCCTCTTAACACGAAGTATGTAAGTATATACGGCTGGTGAAGAAAAGAAAGAAATTCAAATTGATATCGTAAGTGATTACATTTTCATTATAAAGAATTATTTGAATAAGCAGTTGGAAATAAAGTTTTAAAGATAAAGTATAATACTGCTATGAAAAACATGTTAATAAAATTCTTCTGAATTTATTTTAAACACCGAGCTTTCTATGACATCTTAGATCATTTTCAAGAGTGAATAACAAAAAGAAAAGAAGGAGTCTATATATAAAAATACATGCAGAGCTAAAGAAGAAGTTTGGAGAATTCAAAATACCCGACAATAACGAAAGAAGAAGAGAGGAAAAATCCATAATAACACATTCGAACGCGCGATGAATGATCTAAGTTGTGATCGAGAGCTCGAGTGTTTGAAATAAATTCAGAAGAATTTTATTAACATGTTTTTCATAGCAGTATTATACTTTGTATTTAAAAATGTTAATTATATTTTTTCTCGTATTCAAACAAGTTAGTATCACTCAGTTGCACTGTCACACTGTACATGTCCGTCTGCTAAGGCTGCTTTGTCCTGGAACTAACTTATCACTGAAAAGGTACTTTGGTATATGTGTTAAGTCATAATTGACCGAAGAAGATAATGCAATATTCCAGAGTCACTATTGGTATTTGTTTGTTTTCTATTCAGAGTACAGATTTAACACGAAGCCAATTCGAAATGTCAGCGTGGGGCGAGTAAGTTTTCGTTTATCCAATAAATCCAGTTTTGTTGTGCAATGCACAAGTTTTACCAATGGGAGGCTAGCAGGACAAATTTGGAATTGCGAAACTTTCATGGTTTCTCATCTGTTTAAAGGAATAAAGACCTTGGTCATATATTTCCAAACTTTTTCATCTTTTCATACTGAAGCATATATTGACAGTTTCGCTTTGGTGGAGAATTCAGGAAAAATAGCAGAAGTTATGTTCGCGGCGAAATCAAATCTCCTACTCTCATCTACCCTCATCTGGCAGTCATTCTATATTCTAAATCTGCATACGGTATATGTAATAGAGTTTTGACTATATTTTTTATGTATTTTATTGCGTGTACTGAAGAAGACTGGAATTATAAAAGGTCAAAACGTTTGTTTTGCTAAAATTTAAAAGATTTTAAATTGTTTAAAAGTTAAACTCAAATACCCTAAAAGGAATTGTTTGTTGCGAAACATTTTATTGTTTATTTGACATTCATAGACAAGAAAGAACTGTTTTCAGCGTTTTCATCTAACATGTCTGGTATTTCATGAGCGATATGCTTAATAATTTTCTTGTTGTCTAACATATTTATTTGCGATGGGTACGAATGAGAAGGGCAAGCTAGGTGAGTGTGAGTCATATAGGTACGGTTCATTTGACTCTGCAATCACTTGTCGTTTCACATGTTTTGGTCGTGTAACCGTTCTGCAGTCTTTTAGAGCTCGCAGGTAAGGGTAGATGCAAGTATTAGCTCTAATTTCGTCTCTAACTTAACTTCTGCTGTTCTTTTGAGCTCGCAGTAGATGAGGGTAGATGAGAGCAGTTTTGGAAAAGAATTCTGAAACCTGATAAAAATGGAGCTTTACGAAAATTGAGATATTTCATCTAACATTACAAAAAGATCACAACCCACTTAGAAAATGTCAGAAATAGTTGAGAGCTTCACGATATGGTGAGCTTTCTCCGCTAAATATGATTACACCATCGAAGAAATTGATCCTTCTTGTGATCAAACGATTTCTAGAAAACCATTCGAGAAAACAAGCGTTTTGTTTTTAGACTGATAGTGGAAAACTTGACTCAAACTGCAGGGCACCCTTCCTGGAGCTTCAAAGCATTCCCACAGCTCGTCCGAACCACAAATGATCTTTAGTATGAAAAGATGGAGTCAGATCTTGGCTACAACACACTGGACGCCGCAAGTTTTCATGTTGTTCCGTTGAAAATTTATAAGAAAAGACCTTTATTCATTCGGACAGATAATCCTTGACCACTGACGAAAGCTGCAAACGAAACTGTCAAAATTTCCTTTGCATAACTTCGATTGCCTGCACGTTTCAATAACTGTTGCAGGTTATTTTAGTGATATAGGACGTGTTCTGTCGCAGACTGGATTCTTTCCTAGACTTTCTACCTCGTTGTATAAATGAACACTTTTTCTTTCTCTTTAGACCAGCAGCTTCCAGCGTAACGCGAGTAAGTGATCAAAGTTATATGCGATGAAAGACACGATAGTCTAATGTAAGGATTGAAACACATCGTGAAAAGAGAACCAAAGGCGTATTTCGGAGAATTGCTTGGTTCTTTTGAAACTAGCTTTCATTCTATAACAACTACATGGCAAACGGATCTTAATGCCTGAACATCAAAATTATATATGTAAAGTTTATTTGCACGCGTAAAGCACAGATCAAAGTTGTAAAGAGTGTTGAAGAACTTACAGGCTCTCTGTTATATAGGGAGCCAGTAGACTTTTGCTTAGTGTGCAGGAGCATAAGAAATTCGGTGTGGAAGTTAAACTCAAACACTCCGTTTACATGCGTAGAAGCAAGCGTGAAAAGTGTCGAACACGTACCCAAGGCGTAGAGATGATCAGATTTTCCACATGGACATAGGATACATCATTTTAGAGTGAGAAGAAGGTAGAGCGTTAGACATACCGGGTAATAAGGAGAGCGAGATGCTGCATCGTTCATTGACGAAAAAGACAGTACGCCAGAATAGAAGAAATTACCTTTTCGAAGTATAGTGTATAACTCAAAAAAGTCATGAACGAACTATAACTATTTCAACCTTTCTAGATCAAAAAGGACCGTATTGCTGGTACAACTGCGTTAAAAGTTATGTTTGCCGTCGTTGTAGTAGCTTCTGTCGCTGCGTTTACTATGGAACTATAATTTAATTACGTCCATGCTTTGAAGAGGAAGTCGGCATTCCCTCGGCAGATCTGAACACGAGAGGAAAGAACAAATTTTATGTACGTATTTNAAAAAGTCATGAACGAACTATAACTATTTCAACCTTTCTAGATCAAAAAGGACCGTATTGCTGGTACAACTGCGTTAAAAGTTATGTTTGCCGTCGTTGTAGTAGCTTCTGTCGCTGCGTTTACTATACCAATTGCAGTTATTCTCGGAAAAAAACCCATTTCTGAATCAATAGGTGAGTTGATTAAGAACAATCTTACTTTATGTCGAAATACAAGTATGACATTGATCAGCGAAATTAAATCGCTATTCTTTTACTTGTGGCTGAAACAAGATGATTAGTATTTTTCTGATAATCTTCTGTCTATTTATAGATAGCTCATCTACCACAGGAAACACAACAGGTAAATCAGAACTGCAGTGACTACAAAAGATAATTCTCCTTTCTATCCTTCTTTTCGCAGAGGAGTGAGAGCCTATACCCAAGAAACCTCTGGAAAATGAGAAAATGTTCACTTCCTACCTACGGACGGGCAAGCACTGCCCTCTTCCTCACCCAACAGAGTAGCAGAAAACAGGAGAGCAGCCACACATCAATGATTCATTGCGAGATGACACTGTAACTGCGAGAATAACAGATTCTTTCAAAAGCCAAATACGGCAGCTCGAATATCCCATTAAACGTCCAACCAGAAAGCAATAACAAAACAATGATGTACCACATTAACTCTATTTGTGAGAGACAGGGCTACTCGACATACACTGAATACGAAAATCAGCTACTACTCCTCGTCGATTAAGGCATCGAAAGTATATCATTTTAATGATAATACCACATATAATAAAAAAATAATGGGGAATCCGCAGCACAGTATGTTAGTAACAACAACGACAGAAAAAGGTGCGAATCTTCAGAAAATGTTTCAAGCCTTTTCCTAAGTTAGATGACTGATGAGAGTCCAAAATTCTGCAAAATCATGTATGACACAGTGTCACAACTACAAAAGCAGCGAGTGTCTTCCACGTTGAAACAGATCATGATTATACCTACTTTTTATCATTCTATAGCTGCTTGTACAATTAATCCATGTCAAAATGGCGGAATCTGCTCGGTCAACTCGACAACAAGTCCGTACTACCAGTGTTCATGTGCACTCGGCACCTCAGGTGTTAATTGTTCAACAAGTAAGATTCTTGAAAAGATTCTTCTTCTACTTCACCTATCTATTCCATATTCCTGTTATCTGTCTGTGGGTGTCTTGTAGTTTGCGGCATTTCAAGGTCGAAAGCACATTTTTTATGGACAGATAACTTGAATAATTTGACTTCATATGCACTCGGCACCTCGGGTGTTAATTGTTCAAGAAGTAGGATGCTTGAGAAGATCCTTCTTCTACTTCACCTATCTATTCCATATTCGTGTTATCTGTCGGTGGGTGTCTTGTAGTTTACGGCATTTCAGAGTCAAGAGCAGATTTTTTATGGATTGCGGCAGAAAATGTTTCAAGCCTCTTTCTAAGTTAAATGACTGATGAGCGCCCAAAATTCTGCAAATTCGTCAAAATCATGTATGACTCTGTGTCAGTACGACGAGATGTTGCCTCTTCTGCTATCGAGCTTTTGATGTTGTTGAGTTGGCGATCATGCATTAATTAATGAGTGTGGTGTGCGAAGAGTTGAAAAATCTGGAGAGACTTGAATGAACCTTTCTGGGAGGTGATTGAAGGCCTGTTGTTTCAGCTGTTTTGAGTCAAAGTGACTGAATTATGCCACTTTTAGTGTCCAGGGTGTTAGGGAAACATTGTGCCCCATCTATACTAATAATTTCATCTTCAGAAAGGATTTCGTTTCTGAGAAACTCACTCACGTAAAAGAGTTCGGCTAAAGTGGTTCCTGTGAATTTTGCGACCTTCCGGATCCTACCAGATAGCGGCTCTTGAAAGTGTCGGTTTGCAAGTAGGTTTGGTGTGATACAGCAGCTAATATTCTTCTTCTTTGTCTTTCGTGTAATAAATTTAGATGTTTGTGTTTCTCCTTCCAACCCATGTCAAAACGGAGGGACGTGTAATCTTACAAGTTCCAGTCCCTACTACCAGTGTCAATGTACAGCATCGTATGGAGGAAATTTGTGTGCTAGCTGTGAGTATATAGTTCTTTCAATACTTTTCATGTCATTTTACGCCGAGTGCAGTCGCGCAACATGTCATTCGGAACAACGGATGAAAGTGCACGGAATAAAGTGTCTTTCGGCTCTCCACTACCAAAAATGAACGTTTTCAGGTCGAATGACTTGGAAAATTTCGTTTTCTTAAATCGACCGGTTTCCATTCTAAGTTCATTATCGTATTGATGCAGTGCCGACGAGAAAGTCACCTTTCATGCATTTGTAGAGCTTTTTCTCCACGAAGATCCTAGCTTGAACAAAAACTAGGTGATATTTAGAACCAGCGTGCGAAACTGAATCGAATGGTTTGTTTCTCAATGATTTCCTGAGCAGAAAAAGACTTTCGAAACTTTTTGCTTTGGTTCACCAGGGCTAAAATTTTCCAAGAAACAAGTTTTTGTTAACAAAGCGATGTTTTGTTGTGTTAGGATTATGCAACAAAAGTAACTAGTAAAAATCGGTTTTCAATCGTCGGAATCCTGCAGTTGAAGATCTTGTCGCGGAAGTTTCCACTCCGTTTTTGGAGATGGATTTTATTTTGATACCGAGGACTACAAAAACGTTTTCGTTTAGGTTTTTATGTGTGCTCTGTCGAATGATAAGATTTGCGCAGTTCAAAATATGATTTTTTCAAGAGAGCTTTTGTAGAGACGCGACGTCCGAATATCACCTGAGAAACCATTTTTGGGCTTTTCGACTCTTAGTCTATTCTAAGGACTTATCCAATTTTCTGAATCAATCGATAGCTGGTCGTTTGCGCAACAAAATGGGAATCAAGCGGGCTCTACATATCTTATCGTTCAGCTCGCTTTTCCAGAGGACTGATCTACTGCCTAGTGGAACAAACGGGAAAATTTTAAAAACACGTGCAACAGAGATTATCAAGCCTTCTGATCATCGTGCATATGTCTGTTCCAATGTGGAGGCTATAATGAGATCGTCGATTTTCTGAAAAGTTTTAACCTTTGACGCTTGTACACGGGATAGATAGTAGTAGTCGTGAAAATTCATTACTTAATAACGTATATTGGTCGACTTTTTTTCTGAGAATAGACGTCTCAACTCTCAAAACTTAGATGAATATCTTTTTACGATACGTTTTCAATGATTAGCGACTTCAGTGTAAACTAAACCACCTTTTTTCCAATAAATGTCATCTGTTATAACTACCGTTAATGATTTTCAGTGGGTCACTTCGTAAAGTTTACTAATCATGAATTTTCATGACTTCATGGAAAGTAACCACTTAGTTTTTACTAATAATATTTAGGCTCATGCAATGGTTTTCTACTCTATTCTAGGTGTTGGTAATTTAACCTGGAACACAACTGGAGTCGTAGTCATAACCATAACGGATGTTCCATTTCAGAATGGTATTTATATTAAGAACGGCATAATATATACTGGTAATTCAGGAGGTGGTGTCAGTGGTCAAATAATTAAGACAACATCATCCTTAAATTCTACAGTATATCCGTATACAACGAGTGTAGTTGTTACAGGGCTGGCTAGTCCTACCTGGCCAATTATTGATTCACAAGGAGTATATATGTATATACCAGATACTGACGTTAATACTGTATACAGATATTTTCTGGGTTCATCAACAACAACAAATTATAGTGTTTTAATGCACAATTCAGCAGCACAGTCAAGCGTTGACATGTTTATTGCATTTGACTCAACAGAAAGTAATATCTATGTCTCAGACGACAGAAATAATCGAGTTTTAATGTATCCTGTCAATGCAACAAATGCTACAATTGGATTATTAGTGGCGGTGAGACTTTTCAAAAAAACTTCTTCTGAAACACTGCGCCTTCTTGCTGCTAAATAAATTAAAGGTATCTTTTTTAGAAATCTACACCCACCCGTAGAGGTGTTAGTCGATGAAATGGTTGGCCGCGGATGAGTCATAAGGGTTTTTGGCGACGGCAACATCGTTTCTTTTTACGTTTTATCGATGGCGGTGGCGAGACGGATCGGCAAACACCTGTACGCATCCGATCGATAAACGCCTGTTTGTATCTCGGCTAACAACTTTGCTGAGTTTACATAAGTTACAAGTTAAGTTTGAAAAGTGCAACTTGACTGTCTGTGAGCATTAGCGGTAGAAAAGATATTTCCCCATCTTTCGTTGCTACGATATTTCCGTGATTTTGCTGTTACACGGAATCAATTTTGCTTTTTCGATTTGTAAAACCGTAGTTTAATCGAATTTTCGAACAATAGTTACTGTAAGTTAGACGATTCGCGAGAAAAATAAACGTCTTGCAAAAACCAAGCACATCCACTGTTTATTCACCACTTGATTCGATGCCGATAACTGTAGTTAAGAAACGTTTTAGTCTTGTCGACCCATTTCCATCTGAGTTGTAAACTTTTCAAAGATGTTCACTTTGAAAAACTATTAGGAAGCGACCGCTTTAACATTTTCGATTTTTTGATGTCTATTTTAGAAAAGTAGATTCGTGCAACATCTCATTTGAAAGAACAGACAGAAGTGCATCGACTGATGTGTTTCTCAGTTTTTCTGCGTTAAAGCGGAATTTTCTAAAGGTGAATTACTTGAATAATTGTAGTTAGTATTTGGAGTAAAATGAAATTTTCTACTTCAGTTCAACTTCGTCCAAGAAAATGATCAGAATATCTTCTGGAGGGAAGCTGCACGAGCGCATAGAGAATCCACTAGATGAGCCAAAACATGGTAAAGATTAACATATACTTTTATAAGGGGCTTCAATGCTACGCCGAAAGTTGTGGGAATGAAAAAGAATTTTAGATCTTCATACATTTTTCCTCTGAGTTACACAATTTTCAAAAGAAATCACTTGAAAAATCGTCAAAAGCCACAAATTCAGTATTTCCAGTTTTATCCGCTTTGTTTTTAGTATTTAGTTTTTGTTTCTGGCTTTTACTCTTTAGTTTTTAGTTTTCAGTTTTTAATTCTTAGTTATTAGTATTCAGTATTGAGTATTTAAGTTTCCAGTTTCAGTTTTTAGTATGCAGTATACACAGTTTACTTTTCAGTTTTAGTTTATAGTTTTGTGTTATAACTGGTTAGTTATTAGGTTTTTATTTCCTTGACTGTTTACAGTCTAAGGTCATATAAAATAAAATGTCTGTTTGCGTGTCTGCGCATACACTGGAGTGTGACAAACGGACAGTAATACAGACAGGGAACGAAAGAATATAGGGATGACGGACAGACAACACGTGGACCAAACATGAGTCAATGAAATGCGTGACGGACAGACAGACGCACGGACTTCTCGAAAGTTCCAGCGTGAAAGATGGGCATACACGGACAAAAAGGCGTGACGGACGGACAAATTTCGTCGGATACCAAACAAAAGGGTTATAGGACAGACGGAAACACAGACAAAATAGTAATGGACAACTTCCACGTCTGATTTTCAAAGTCTAAAGTCTTTCAGATCACGCTATGCGTGGCGGGTAGTATCTTCCGCGCCCTGCGCTACCGTTTAGATGACACCGGCGGTATATTTAAAAAATTGTTGGAGCGTAGTAGACGTGATAGGCCGCCACCGTCAAGATAACGCGATGCAACAGTTTTCTGATGTATACCTAGAGATAAGGGTTCGTGTGTATCCTTCGGTTCACGCTGGTTATCTATTTCAGGGCAGCAATTCGTCGGGCAATGCAGCAACGCAGTTATCTGGTAATCAAGGCATCTATTATGATCCGGCATCTAATTATCTTTATATTGCTAATTTGAATGGTCATTCAGTGAGTCGATGGACACCAGGTGCTTCGAACGGTACGTTCATTATTGGTATACCCGGTTCAAGCGGTAGTGCCTTGACAAAATTAAACCAACCGTTTAGTGTTACAATGGATAAGTACTCTAATTTATATGTCGCTGATTATGGAAATCACCGTGTCATGGGTTATTGTGCGGGCACCTATACTAATAACCTTAGTAGCGGTATTTCACTCCTTGGCAATCTCGGCTATGGTCCGCAGAATATTGCATTTGATTCATCAATGAATTTGTACTTAAATGACTGGGATAATAATCTTGTTTATAAATTTGCAAAATTATAGACACGAAAACATACGCAGTTAACAGAGTATCCCTTCTTCATCCGGAAGGGTCTCTGCCTATCCTACCTTCTACTTTGGAGAATACCAAAAGGATAGTGTCATTCGAGTCAAAAGTTTCTTTTTCATTGATGATTTCAGTTTTTTCACAGTTAAATTCTTACATCCATCATCATCATCATTATTAATTCTCTCCAGAGACTTTTGAGTTTAATAGTTTTCAAAAACTGCCACGCCATCTTTTCTTTTTTTGTTACTTTCTTTATTATTTCAACATTTTTTTCCTTTTATCTTCATCTGCTAACTTATTATTTACTTTTTATATCGAAAGTTTTCTTTTTTTGTTCTTGGATTAGAATGTGGTGGAATTGTGAGTGTGTAATTCTGAAACTGAGTAATACGTGTATTGAGGATAACGTGGATAGCTATCAGAAGTAGATATAAATTTTTCTGTATTTAATTTAGTTTCTGCGTTCCAACAGACACTACCACGATGATCAGCATAGTCGATTACGTAGTGTAAGTTGGTCATTGTTTGCCCAAAATAGTTGAGAATTTCTGGATACTTGCAGAAAAGGGTCAGCAAGTTCTTGAAATTATAATTCTTCTAATTTTTCTGACCTACCAAGACAGATCCTGCAGAAAATGCTGTTACTTTGTTACTATACGTATGAAATTGTTAATTTGTAATGACCAGTGGCCCTGTAGGATAGTTTTAGCCTAATGCTTAATCAATGGCGTGTGCCCGTCAGGTTTAACTCGCCGCTAGTTTATCCCGGTAGACATGTTTGTGTTTGTGAGTGTGAAACTGCACCTTGTCATAATACAAGGAAAAACATGGTCTCAACTGGGAATACAACCCAGGACCTTTGTTCACAGTACCAAAGCTCTAACCACTCAGCTACTGAGACCCAGAATTAACGATGTTATTCATCTTGTACCATATGAATTACTAGCGAGAACCCGTAGCACGGTAGTTTTTTATCATCGAAGGGAAGTTTTCGTGAGGATCAGGGGATTGTCAGGTATATTATTAAAAGGTTTGTCTCCGTTGTATCAAAAGAATTTATGTACATAATCTTCATTTTATTCTAAAACAACAAATTTACAAACTTTCTTTGAAAACAATGTTTTTAGGTTCTTTCACTGTTTTTTTCTTCTTTGATGATTCGTACCTGGATAGAGGTCAGACAGCGAACTCTTGAAAAAGCAACATATAGTTATCCATGGCTGAATACTGGTTGTGGTAGAAGTAGTCCTAATCGATCAAAGGTCTGTCCTTGTGATTTGTTGATTGTCATAGCAAATGAGAGTCGAATGGAAATTGATGTCTACTTAATTTAAAGGGCAAAAATGGATCAGACGGTGTCAAAGTAATTCTTGGTATTAGAACTCGATTTTCTTTGTTAGATCCAGTTGCGACTTCACAATCAATCGTGTGATTTAGTAAACGTCGAACGATGAGGCGAATTCCATTGCGTAGACCTTGATGAACATAGAGGTTGCGAAGAAGCATAACAATTACACCGATCTTTAGTTTAAGTTTATGAGGAGACATTCCTGATGGTGTAAGACTATTCAAAAATTCTGTAGGATAGTTGGTAACATCATCACCATCTTCACAGTCTGCTTCATCCACACTTGTGTACATTTTTTTTACTCCGGGTACTCGTTGAAGAACTTCTTCATTGACCAAGAGAGAATGTTCATTTTTTGAAACTGTAGCATAGAGTTGGAACATTTTCTATAGAAATGTGTTGGCCAAAGATCTCATCAACCAAATTACTGTCTAACATACAGGAGCCAGGTAATTCGATTTCATCGTCTTCATTCGATGTTAATTCACCATTGCCAAGTTTAATAAGCCCCTTTGAGAACTCTTCTTCACGTGGTCCTGTTCTCAAGTTCTGGTGTCGATGCATGACTTTGAAGTAAGGCCAAAGGTTGGAACTTTTGAGACTTGCTGCAATTAATTCTGATCTGTTTGCAAATCGAATGACCGGAAGCACTTGTCGAAAATCTCCACCGAGTATCATAATTTTTCCTTCAAAAGGTGCATCCATGTTCATTATATCTCTCAGCAAAATATCAACTGCATTGAGAGCATAAGATGGAGTCATTGGTGCTTCATCCCAGATAAAAGCTTGAGTCTTTCTAATCTCTTCAGTTTCCTTACTGTTTGGTCGAATACTGGATGTAGACGTTTCTAGGTGCAGGAAGCTTGAAACGAGTCTGTACAGTTCTTCCTTCAGGTAATAAACTTGCAGCAATTCCTGTCCATGCAACTGTCATAACATGGACTCCTTGTCCCATGAATAAATGGTACAGAGTGTTATAGAGATAGGTTTTTCCTGTACCTCCAGGACCATTAATAAAGAAACATGAGCCAGCAGCGGTGGTTGACCAGGGGATTGTCAGGTATATTATTACAAGGTTTGTCTCCGTTGTATCAAAAGAATTTATGTACATAATCTTCATTTATTCTAAAATAACAAATTTACAAAATTTCTTTGAAAACAATGTTTTTAGGTTCTTTCACTGTTTTTTTTCTTCTTTGATGATTCGTACCTGAAATATGACGACGTTTTGGGGTAAAATTGAAAAAAAAATCAAGCTCCCAACAACTCTTTGGTCGAAAACAAATTTTTAACAAAGTTTAGTCGAATTTATATACGATCGAGAAATGGGCGGTTAAGCTTTTATTGATCATAATGGGATATACTTTTGACCTAATCGCTTTCCACACCGACCGTCTTTCAGCTGCAGGAAACAGAAGACGCTACTAGGAACATTAGAAAGGGAGAATAAAGAAAAAGAAGAAGCAAAATATTCAGCTTTCATATAATTCAAAATTTCTACGATTAATTGAATAATCATTTTGTCTAAGTGGAAAAATATTAGACAAGAAAAAAATGAAACTAGAAGGCATTAGCATTGATATAGTCAACTAGAAATACTTTATTATCGCTCTTAGCCACTTCTAAGAATTTTTACTGCAGAATGATGAATGCATTGAACATTCGAATGTGCAGTACATATGTAGTGAATGTGTAGTGAGGTAGTGAACGTGTACATCGGGCGTTGCATCGAGTGTTAACATGTAATAGCTACTATCCATAGTATTACTAGCTGCAGCTAGTTAGGCAGCAGGTATTGAATAGATTCTGGAAAACAGTTTCACTAGTGGCACCGCCCGATTTACGAGGGAACATATGTAAGTGTCCCCTCGCTCTTTCAACGAAACCTGGTGGGTTATAGGTTATCGATGATGCTGATTCCGAATATGACTATGAGAGCTGCCCTCAGGGCTTCAAAGATCCGGTAATCTGGAAAACTATTTTTTTCAGAAACTCTGAAAAACAACCGAAGCTTTCCTTAATAAGCCATGCTTGTAGCTCGCACCTTTCTGATTAAAATGAGGCCTCTCCCAGCTCTACATGACCTTTCTTTGCAGAGTTATAGAATTTACACGAAGAGCCCTAAATTAATTTCTTCTTATTTCTGCAGCTTCGAGTTGACAATGAATATTCAGGGCTTTTCTTGTAAATTCTATAACTTTGCAAAGCAAGGTCATGTAGAGCTGGGACAGGTCTCATTTTAATCAGAAATGTGCGGGCTACAAGCATGGCTTATTAAGGAAAGCTTCGGTTGTTTTCCAGAAAACCGGGTCTTCGAAGCCCTAAGGGCAGCTCTCATAGTCATATTCGGAATCAGCATCATCGATAACCTATAACCCACTAGGTTTCGTTGAAAGAGCGAGGGGACACTCACATATGTGCGCTCGTTAGCGACCGTTGCAGCTAGTTCAACTAAAAGTAGCTGCAGCTAGCGATTTATTGGGTGCTGTAGCTAGTTGGCCAGCCGGTATTGAATAGAAAACAGTTTGACTAGTTGTAACACCCAATAAATCCCTAGCTACACCTAGTTGCACACTGTTTTATAGTGGCAAAAGTTCTTACCCGCTGCAGCTAGCATTGAGTCGCGTCTAGGGAAAATATGAGATTTCTTGAAAATCTCAATTAACTCAATTTTTTCCGTATCCAAACCGAAAACTAACGTCACCGAGATGATCAGTGCACTCGATTACCTATGTGTTGACATTTTTTAGTTCAAAAAAGCCAAAGTCTCCGAAAAAGTGACCATTTTTGAAACGCTTACAACTTGGCGAGGAAGCAAAATTTTGTCGGTTTCCTTAGATACCATTCGAAAGGAGACCTCTTGCTCTGCAAAACTAGTCAAAAATATAAAAAACAAATTTTTTTCGAAAAACGCGCTGTTTTTCAGAACTTTTCCGGGTTATAATAACCCAAAACGTTACTTTGGAAATATTTCATTTTTCCATAAGTTTGTGTCCTCTGATGTCCTCTTTCGATTACCAAAAACCGCAGGTCGCTAGCTCTTTTCAGTAAAAAATTATAAGCGTTTGGCGAAGTAGCCTTTTTTCAAAAAACCGATAATAAAGCAAATCAGTTCGTCGACATTTGAAAAAAACTGGTTTGGTGAAACATTAGCCTGTGTTATTTATTAATTAATTATTATTTCATTTATAATTATTTAAGATATTATTACCTTCGATATTTGGGTTCTTATTTCAAACTGGTAGTCGTCTCTTTTCAATTACTATGGAAATATTCGTGCTTATTTTGATTTTTTTGGTGACAATCGAGGCCTGGTCGAACAGAACTATCCAAAAAACAATTTTGTCAAAAGTTCAGAATACAGATGTGCAGGAATTAAAAGAAATGATGTTATGGAAAAATCTCAGAATTTTCGAAAAACGCCGTTTTGTATACTTTATCTCGAACGTGTATTTACTTTACTAAATTTCTTCATTCCCGTTCCTTCTATGATTTCTGTTTTTTTCGGTGTTGTTGTAACTTACATTAGGCTTCTTTCCATTTGTTCCGTCCTTTCCTTCTTCTTACTCCTTTATTTGACTGCTAGAGACGTCCGTCGAAATTAGAGCAAGAAACTATACGCTACCGGGAAGGATAGAATTGAGTCTTCAAGCTCATGTGGTAGCGTTTAATCAGGCCTGAAACACTTATTACAATGTATGTTAGGGCTTTGTTTGGGTGATATGCCAGTTATGTGAAGTGCCTTTTAGAAAGAACAAGTACTCACAATCAGTCTAAACAATTACAGCAACAACTGTCGTCGACGACGTTCTGTTTTGTTTACCAACTTCCTTTCTCATTTCCATAGAGCTCGATCTTCATTGGATCGAGTAGAGCAGGGCCAGGGCTTTCTAAAGATATATATTGCTCAAACACATTGTATCCAATATATTTCATTTCATTTTCTCTTCGTGAAAAGCACTACAATCTACACAGTAAAGCTTATTGTAATTGTTTTCAGAAAAAGGAAAATTTGATGTAGCCAATGTGTGTGATGCCCAAAATTTGATCTCTCAAAACTTTATCGATTTTGAGAACAAAAAGTAGAGCCATAAAATAAGTAGCCGTATGTAAATTGTAGAGCTTCACATGCTGCATCTTATGGTACATTTTGGTTGTTCATACAATTATATGAAGAGATTGAAAACTAACTTGTCTCACACATTGGGATCTAGTACAACCAGCACACAATCAGCTGAAATAGGTTTTATAGATAATTTAATATTATGATATTAGTTGAAGTACGATCTATCGGATTAGCATCGACCCTCTCTTCCAAAAAAAAGTTTAGTTTTTTGAGTACTTGAATTCAAATCTTGGGTCTAAAACTAAAGTAATTACAAGAATTTTGTAGAGAAATGTTTAATGTGCTTAATTATTTAGTTACAATGTTAGATTAGTTTGTAGCTTTACTGCAACAGTCTTTTGAAAAAGAGCGAAAAAAGGATACCGTTAGCTGGACAAGCCGAATACTAAATGGTACAGATCGTCGTCTGCTGGAGTATATAGTGAAATGGGTCATTTCATTTCTCGAAATAGATTGGCCTATAACGAGCTGGAAAATTTATTATCACGACCCTTCACGTTAAAATGAGGTACTCCACAAGCATAACGCTCTCGCCACTATTGTACATTATTTGCACATGCAATTCAATGAATGAAATGCCAAAAAATGTAGAGCATAGTCACTGATCATCTTCAAACACCATCACCATGTTAAACTCACCTCACCCTCACCCTCAAATCTGCAAGAAGCCACCAATGCTTTTCAACAGTGGTGTAAGTAATGGAAGCTAGAGATTCAACCAACAAAAACAGAAATACTACACTTCTAACCTCATCCAAAGAAAAAGTATAAAAACGAAGTTAATGTGAACGTAGAAAATGCAGTAGTTCGACCTCAAACATCAGCTAGATACCTCGGTGAGATCTTTGACCGAAAACTGCAATGGCGAGCTCACATTTAACATACAGAAACGAAAATTCAGTCAAGAATAACTCTGTTACGTTTCTTGACAAGATCAGCTAGAGAAGAAAACAATACTAAAATCATGATCAATCTATATATGTCACTAATCAGAACAGTCATAACACACGCGTCAGCTGTTCTATTAACAGGAGAAGAAAAAATATGGGAAAGACTACAGGCTGTTCAGAACAAGGCAATTAGGGCAGCATTAGCTGTTCGAATGTACACATCCGCGGACTATATACATCGGACCAGCAAACTTCAAAAGATAAAGTCACACTTATTCAGACTAACTCAACAAGCGTTGATCAGAGTGCAATATTACAAAGACAGGACTACAGAAGAAAATATTAATAATATCTTGACAACTTTGTAGGTTTCAAATCGTAGTTTTATGCATCGTTACTTTGATTTCTGTCAGTTTCTGTGCAAAAGACTTATGTCATCAGCCTCCATGTAAATAGCTTTTCAGGCTACTTTTAATAAAAGCCTCTAGTACCTCATTATTCTTCGTTTCTATGTGTTTCTCAGGTGTTGAGCTATATGTAAATTTATGTATAAGTAGCTGTGTTTTTAAGAGTGTTTTCATGTGATTATTTCGGATTATTAGTTCTCTGGTAAATGAAACAAAGAAGATAAAATATTATTCAAGTTTACGTTTGGAAAATAGCATTTGTGGTAATCTCATTCACACAATCACCAATAACTGGTTTTGTTTTTTTGTTTTGAACTTTGAAGGGGTCGACATTAGTGA